GCTTCTCCCTCTTCCACTCCCCCTGCTTGTGTTCCCTCTCTCGCTGTGTCTCTCTCTGTCAAATAAATAAATGAAATCTTAAAAAAAAAAAAAAAAAAAAAAGATTTCCAAAGAAAAAAATGCGAATTAAAAAGTCAAGGTTTGAAAGTTGGAGGTTTAAGGCTCTGTGTCTCTACGAGTATCTAAGTCTGTGCATGCATCCGTGGTCAGAGTTTGGGGAATTGGGAGGGTGAACTTGCTGCTTCAGACGCGCCCTTGGGGCGTGACGGGGGCCTTAGGGCGTGGTTAAGGGGTGTGGCCAGACTCAGAGACCTGGCTGGGATGAGAGGCAGGCCGCAGCCTGGAGGGCGGTCAGAACCTTGGGGCGGGGCCAGGGCCTCGGAGGTGTGGCCAGAGTTTGGGGGCGTGGCCTGAGAAGCTCGTTCCCGAAGGTGAGTCTGTACTTGGCGCGCCCTCTTGTGGCTATCCTCGGGTCTAGCCTCCACTTTTTAAGAAACAGCTTTATGTTTTTAGAAAATTTTTAAAAATTAAAAAATAAAAACAGCTTTATTGAGACATAATGCATACACCATACAATTCAACTATTTAAAGTGTACAGTTCAATGGTTTTAGTAAATTCAAAGAGCTGTGCAATCATCATTACAATCAATTTAAAACCATGTCTTCACCCCAAAAATAAACCCCATACCCATTGGTGGTCACTCCCTATTTCTCCCCAATCCCTTTCAGCTCAGGCAATCCCTAATATACCTTCTGTCTGTATAGATTTGCCTATTCTGAAGACTTTATATAAATTTAATCATACAGGGACGCCTGGGTGGCTCAGTCAGTTAGGTGTCTGCCTTCGGCCCAGGTCATGGTCCTAGGGTCATGGGATCGAGCCGGCATTGGGCTCCCTGCTTGGCGGGGAGCTTGCTTCTCCCTCTCCCTCTGCTGCTCCCCCTGATTGTGCGCCTTCCCTCCCTCTCAATCTCGATCTCTCTCTGTCAAATAAATAAATAAAATCTTTAAAAAAAATAAATACGGGGCGCCTGGGTGGCTCAGACGGTTAAGCGTCTGCGTTCGGCTCAGGTCATGACCTCAGGGTCCTGGGATCGAGTCCCGCATCGGGCTCCCTGCTCCTTGGGAGCCTGCTTCTCCCTCTGCCTCTCTCTCTCTCTCATGAATAAATAAAATCTTTAAAAATAAATAAATAAAATAAATAAATAAATAAATAAATACGTGGGGCGCCTGGGTGGCTCAGTCGTTAAGTGTCTGCCTTCGGCTCAGGTCATGATCCCAGAGTCCTGGGATCGAGCCCCGTATCTGGCTCCCTGCTCCGCGGGAAGCCTGCTTCTGCCTCTCACACTCCCCTTGCTTGTGTTCCCTCTCTCGCTGTCTCTCTTTCTGTCGAATACATAAATAAAATCTTAAAATAAATAAATAAATACGTGTAATCATACAGTATATGGTATTTTGTGACTGGCTTCTTTCACTTAGCATAATGTTTTTGTTTTGTTTTAATTGTTTAAGTAGGCTCCACGCCCACCATGGAGGCCGATGCTGGGCTTGAACTCACAACGCTGAGATCAAGACCTGAGCTGAGAGCAAGAGTCTTGAGCTGAGATCAAGAGTCTGATGCTTAACCACCTGAGCCACCCAGGTGCTCCTAGCATAAGGTTTTTGAGGTTCATCCACTTCATGGCATTCATTCCTTTTAATGGTTGAATAATCTTCCATTGTACGGGTACACTGCTTTTAATTTACCCACTTACCAGTTAATGGACATGTAGGTTATTTCCACAAATATTTGCAGGGATGCATGTTTTCAGTTCCCTGGAATATATCCACATAGGAGGGGACTTGCTGGGTCATACAGTAATTCTATTTTGCCATAGATAAACTCTCTTTATTTCCTCTACTTTGAGGAGCTGCCAAATTGTTTTCCAAAGCAGCTGCACCGTTTACATTCCCACCAGCAGTGTATGAGGGTTCCAATTCCTCCACAGCCTCCCCAGTACTTATTATCTGTCTTTTCCATTACAGCCACCCTAACAGGTATGAAGTGGTAGCTCATTGTGGTTCTGACTTTCATCCGACTGATAACGATGTTGCGGATCTTTTCGTATCATTCATTGCTTTGGGATCCACTATGCGGCTAGATGAACTCTTAGCCACTTTGCCATATTTGATCCAGATTTTTCAAATTAAGGCATTAATGACATGGTTGAAGTCTTGGTGCATCCTTCGATGAAGGACGTTGAAGTCTTGGTGTGCCCTGCATGTCATGTTCAGCATGACCTCCCATGTTTTCATACCATGACCACATAGAGATGCATCCCCAAATAATCTACAGCATTGGTTTTGCAGGCTTTCAAGCCTGATATAAACAACATTGCCCTGTAATCCTTCTGCACCTGTTTATTATTATTATTATTATTATTATTATTACTCATTACATCAGTTTCCTAGGGCTGCTGTAACCAAGGACCGCAAACAGAGTGGCTTAAAGCAACAGAAATTTATTTTCTCCCCATTCTGGGAAGTAGTAACCCAAAATCAAGATGTTGGCAGGGCTGTGTTCTCTTTGAAGCCTCGAGAGGAGGATCCTTCCTTGCCTCTTCTTAGCTTCTGGTGTTTGCCAGAAATTCTTGACATTCTTTGGCTCTGATCTCTGCCTCTGACACCATGCGGCTTTCTTCCATGTATGTACCTGTGTCCGTGTCCAAATTTCCAATCATGTTGGGTTTACGGCCGACCCTAATAGTATGACCTCATCTTAACTTGGTGACATCTGCGAGAACTCTACTTCTAAATAAGTAGACATTCTATTTCTACATGTTGTTCTAGTGGACTTGAATTTGGGGGTGGGGCGCACTATTCAACCCAGTACACTCATCATTATGTTTTTAGGACTCACACTATTGGTATGTGTGTCCAATTCATTCATTTGAACTGCTGTGTGGGAGGCCTTTGTGAGAGTATACCGCAATTTATTCATCCCTCCTGCTGGTGATGGCCTTACCTTGTTTCCAGTTTTCTCCACTTCTGACAAGACTGCAATTAACATTTTTGAACACGTCTCTTGGAGTTTCTTAGGGCAGTAATTTTCAAACTGCCCAAAAAGATCCATTAGTGGGTTAGTGAAATCAATTTAGTGGGTTGCAAACATGATTTTCCCTTTAATGAAATGGCATTAAATAGAAAAGAAGCTATTGTAACACATGCACATAGGGTAAGGATTACCCTGTGAAACTCTTTCAGGTGTATATCATGACCCAATATAAGCAAACGTGTTTAAGAGCCACGGAGGATGGATGTAGTCAGCAATGGCCCCGCACTCTGTCCAAGGTCTGATGGATGCTGCCAAATTGCTCTCCAACTCATTTGTTCATTTACACTTCCATCAGCTCCTCATCAACACTTAGCATAGCCAAAAATCTGACTTTTTGCCAAGCCAATGGGCTTTCATCCTATTTCTGGAAGAGGAAACAGGCTCAGAGAGGGCAGAAACGCCAGGAGCTGGACGACAGACTCCGCCATCCTGACTGCAAAGACCCGGTCTCTGCTGGGTCTGAGATGCAACGTTAAAGATCTTGTAAGTGAAGAATTATCAGGAGTCTAAGGGGACACCTGGGTGGCTCAGCCGGTTAAGCATCTGCCTTCAGCTCAGGTCATGATCCTGGGGTCCTACGATCGAGTCCTGGACCTGCTCAGCGGGGAGTCTGCTTCTCCCTCGGCCTGCCACTCGCCCTGCTTGCGCGCTCTCTCTCTCTCCCTCTTTCTCTCTGTCAAATAAATAAAATCTTAAAAAAAAAAAAAAGAATTCTCGGGGGTCTAAGACAGAATGAAGGCTGAGTGGGGAAAGGGGTTTAGGATGAGAGCTGAGGGTCCTCCACCTCAAAGGGATGCCTGAGACGCAGGGACTGCTCAGCCCACAGCATCCGGAGTGGGCTGACGCAACAGGTTATGCTGTTTGGGGAGAAAACCCCCCACGCTCTTCCAGCCCTGAGCCTACCCGACGCGCCTTGACCCCCACATTCTTTTTCTTTTCTTTTTTTCTTTTTTTTCTTAAGATTTTATTTATTTATTTGACAGAGAGAGCACAAATAGGGGGAGCGGCAGGCAAAGGGAGAGGGAGAAGCAGCCTCCCCACTGAGCAGGGAGCTCAACTCAGGACTCTATCCCAGGACCCCGGGATCATGACCTGAGCCGAAGGCAGACGCTTAACCGACTGAGCCGCCCAGGTGCCCATGACCCCCGCATTCTTGAACCCCATCTTCCCGCCTCATCTCCTGGGGGTCCCAACTCCTCTGGAAATCTGGGTGTCTCGACTCTAGGCTGATTTCCCGTAGGCCCCTCACTTGGGGACTCAGGAATTATGTTGCCAAACTCCTGCTCCTTAAGAAACCCAATCCCTGCTACTAGGGGACCAAGGGGTCTGGTCATGCTATGCTTTTCTTGTCCAGGACAAAAGGATCGCCCTGTCTCCCCGACCTTTACTCCTAAAAATTTCAGCTCTCTGACCTTTAATCCCATGCCACAGCCAAAGATCCAAACCTGCGTCCAAAAGTCCTAAGAGTGCTCCGTTCCAGCCCCAACTCCCCGAAAGGTTTGGTTAGCTAAGCTCCCAGCCCTACACCCAGCCGCCAAAAGCCTCAGGTCTCCCCCAGCCCCTCCTCCACTGCAACCTTGGGACCCAGCCTCCAGTCGGTCTCAGAAGCGGCCCAGGCGTCCTACCTTCAATTCCTACCCACTGAAGAGTCTCCTCCTCCCTCCACCCACCAGCAGCCACCCCATCCAGCTCTCTTTAGGGGATCAGACTTTCGAACCCCATTTCTAGGAACCCAGGTGCCAGATCCCCCAGGCCCCGCCCCCTTCAGAGCGCAGGTAACCTGCAGTCCCCGCCCCGCTCCTCCAGGACTCGCCCCTCACCTTTCGTTCCGGGTCCCGCCCCCACCCTGGGCGGGGCCGCACCTTTGCCCGCCGCCCGCCTACCTCCCGCGGCTCCCGAGGGCCCCATGGCTGCGGCGCAAGCCCCCTGGGGGTGGCAGTGGGGAGAGGCCCGCGCGCTCGGCCGGGCGGTGAGGCTGCTGCAGCGCCTGGAAGAGCAATGCGGGGACCCCCGGCTTGCCTCCAGTCCCCCCTCGCTGCCAGACCTGCTGCCCCGCGTCGCGCAGCAGCTGCGCCAGGTGGCCCACGCCCGGCGGGCGGCCGGCGGGGACGACGCCGAGGGTCCCGGTGCTGCGAGGGACTTTCTCATCGTCTACCTTCACAACCTGGAGGCCAAGAGCAGGCAGGTGGCGGCACTGCTGTCGCCCCGGGGTGGGAGGAGAGCCAACGACCAGCTCTTCCGGGAGGGCTCCAGACGCAGGTGAGCAGCCGCCCTGGCCGCAGAGGAAAGATGGGACCAGCCCCCTGCTCCCTCAGACCCGGGGCTCCTGGTCCCAGCCCCCTCCTCCCTCAGATCTGGGTGTCCTGGTCCCAGCCCCCTCCTCCCTCAGATATGGGTGTCCTGGTCCCAGCCCCCTCCTCCCTCAGATCTGGGTGTCCTGGTCCCAGCCGTCTCCTCCCTCAGATCTGGGTCTTCTCCCTCAGACCCAGGAGTCCAGACCTCAGCCCCTCCTGCCTCAGACCCAGGGGTCCAGGCCTGCCTACTCCCTTCCCTCAGATCTAGGAGTCCTGCCTCCAGCCCCCTCCTCCCTCAGATCTGGGTGTCCTGGTCCCAGCCCCCTCCTCCCTCAGATCTGGGTGTCCTGGTCCCAGCCCCCTCCTCCCTCAGATCTGGGTGTCCTGGTCCCAGCCCCCTCCTCCCTCAGATCTGGGTGTCCTGGTCCCAGCCGTCTCCTCCCTCTGACCCAGGAGTCCAGACCTCAGCCCCTCCTGCCTCAGACCCAGGGGTCCAGGCCCCCAGCCTTCCTCCCTCAGACCCAAGAGTCAAGGCCCTCAGACCCAGGAGTCCAGATGCCCAGCCCCTCCTCCCTCACACAAGGGGTCCAGACTCCCAGCCCTCCTGCCTCAGACCCAGGAGTCCAGACCCCCAGCCCTCCTGCCTCAGATCCAAGAGTCCAGGCCCCCAGCCCCTCCTGCCTCAGACCCAGGAGTCTAGGCCCCCAGCCCCTCCTGCCTCAGACCCAACAGTCCAGACTCCCACTCCCTCCTCCCTCAGACCCAGGAGTCCAGACCCCCAGCCCTCCTGCCTCAGATCCAAGAGTCCAGGCCCCCAGCCCCTCCTGCTCAGACCCAACAGTCCAGACTCCCACTCCCTCCTCCCTCAGACCCAGGAGTCCAGACCCCCAGCCCCTCCTCCCTCAGACCCAGGGGTCCAGGCCCCCCCAGCCCCTCCTGCCTCAGACCCAGGAGTCCAGACCCCCAGCCCTCCTGCCTCAGATCCAAGAGTCCAGGCCCCCAGCCCCTCCTGCCTCAGACCCAACAGTCCAGACTCCCAGTCCCTCCTCCCTCAGACCCAGGAGTCCAGACTCCCAGCCCCTCCTCCCTCAGACCAGGGGTCCAGACCCCCAGCCCCTCCTCCCTCAGACCCAGGGGTCCAGGCCCCCCCAGCCCCTCCTGCCTCAGACCCAGGAGTCCAGGCCCCCAGCCCCTCCTGCCTCAGACCCAGGAGTCTAGGCCCCCAGCCCCTCCTGCCTCAGACCCAGGAGTCCAGGCCCCCAGCCCCTCCTGCCTCAGACCCAGGAGTCTAGGCCCCCAGCCTTTTCTTCCTCAGACCCAAGATCCAGCCTGCAGCTCCCTCCTTCAGACCCAGGGGTCCAGGCCCCCAGCCCCTCCTCCCTCAGACAAGGGGTTCAGACTCCCAGTCCGTACTCCCTCAGACCCAGGAGTCCAGACCTCAGCCCCTCCTGCCTCAGACCCAGGGGTCCAGGCCTGCCTACTCTCTTCCCTCAGACCTAGGAGTCCTGCCTCCAGCCCCCTCCTCCCTCAGACCCAGGAATTCTGCCTCCAGGCCTCTCCTCCCTCAGACCCACAGGTCCAGACTCCCACCCCCTCCTTCCTCAGACCCAGGGGTCCAGGCCTGCCTACTCTCTTCCCTCAGACCTAGGAGTCCTGCCTCCAGCCCCCTCCTCCCTCAGACCCAGGAATTCTGCCTCCAGGCCCCTCCTCCCTCAGACCCACAGGTCCAGACTCCCACCCCCTCCTTCCTCAGACCCAGGGGTCCAGGCCTGCCTACTCTCTTCCCTCAGACCTAGGAATCCTGCCTCCAGCCCCCTCCCTCAGACCCAGCAGTCCAGGCCCCCAGCCCCTCCTCCCTCAGACCAGGGGTCCTGCCCCCAGCCCCTCCCTCAGACCCAGGGGTCCAAGTCCCAACCCCCTCTGCCTGAGAACCTAGAAAACTGAGCGACCCAGTTTTTTCTTTCTTTGGGCACTTATGCCCTCAGTTCCCCATTTCCCCTCTTTCTTGGCCATCCGGCCGCCCACTTCACATTGCCCCACTCTCCCAGAGGCCTAGACACGAATCCTGGAAATGTGGGGACCCCAGGGAGCTTCTTGCATGAGGAGGGATGGACTGACATCCCATCACTGCCCCTGCCTAGGGGGACACACAGGGCCCCCTGGTCTTGCTTCTTGAGGAACAACTAGCTCAGGACCTAGGGCTTATCTATAGCTACCCCCCCCAACCTCTTCTGAACTCTGGGGAAGGGGCTGCTGAGTGACAGGAGCATATGAGGTTTGGGGTCTAGAGCCCAGAACGAAACAAGGTCTGGACCAGCGGCTCTCGACTCTGTCAAGGCAAATACTTCTGTCTCCTCAAATTCATCCTGAAATGAAATGCATAGGTTAAACTGCTTACCTACCCATAATTTTTTAAAAATCACTATAATACACAAACTGTATTGTAGGGGATGATAAAAAAGAATGCCCTTCATAATAACATTGTCTGTATTTCAAATGAAAATGCCAAGACACAATTATAATTATTCTGGGAAGCAGAATTGGCTAGTCAGACACCAGCACCCCTAGGGAGAATCCCTATGTCACTGACCCAGTCTTCCTTCCATGTATAGGATAGTTGAATTTCTGTAAAATTCAGTATAAATTTAAGATGTGCAGAAAATGCCTTTGTAAACTGGAATTGGGTTTTAGGTTTAGATAATTTTAAATAGATTTTCCACTTTCACAGATGCCTGATGGGACATTGGAAAGTGGAGTGGAATGTGAGCAAATTTTGCTAGAGTGGACTGTCCCCCACAATTTAGCCTCCCTACTGTAATCGCTATGTCAAGTGAATTTCTAGAAGCTCCTTGGAAAGGTGGTATAACTCCACTGAGAATCACTGTTCTAGAAAATAGCATAGGGGCTTAGTGAGTGTCTGAGTGAGTGTTCTAGAGTTACTAGGGTCCTAGCAACTCTCTGAAGAAGATTCTAGAACAACACTCCCCACTAAAAATCTAATGCAACCCACATATGTAATTTTTTTTCTTTTTTTAATAAATGTTTTATTTATTTATTCATGAGAGTCACAGAGAGAGAGAGAAAGAGAGAGAGAGGCAGAGGGAGAAGCAGGCTTCCCGCTGAGCAGGGAGCCCGATGCGGGGCTCGATCCCAGGACCCTGGGATCATGACCTGAGCCGAAGGCAGACGCTTAACCATCTGAGCCACCCAGGCACCCTGTAATTTTTTATTTTCTAGTAGACATATTACAGAAAAAAGATTTTTTTAATTAAATTACTTTTTTTAAATATTTTATTTGTTTATCTGACAGAGAGAGACACAGCAAGAGAGGGAACACAAGCAGGGGGAGTGGGAGAGGGAGAAGCAGGGTTCCTGCCGAGCAGGGAGCCCGATGTGGGGCTCGATCCCAGGACCCTGGGACCATGACCTGAGCTGAAGGCAGCCGCTTAACTGACTGAGCCACCCAGGTGCCCCAAATTACTTATTTTTAAGTAATCTCTGCCCCCAACATGGGGCTTGAACTCACACCCCCGAAATCAGGAGTCACCTGCTCCACCGACTGAGCCAGCCAGGTGCCCCAAGATTTTTTTTAACAGGTGCAGTGAGTTTTAATAACACTCCCTTTATTTAACCCACAGTATCCAAAATACTACCTCAACTTCTAATCAATGTAAAGCAATAATTAATGAGATATCTCACATTCTTTTTTTTTTTTCCACTAAGTTTCCAAAATCTGGGGCACCTGGGTGGCTCAGTCGGTTAAGCATCTGTCTTTGGCTCAGGTCCTGATCCCAGCATCCTGGGACCAAGTCCCGCATCGGGCTCCCTACTCAGCGGGGAGTCTGCTTGTCCCTCTCACTCTGCCCCTGATCATGTGCTCTCTCTCTCTCAAATAAATAAATAAAATCTTTAAAAAATAAAATAATAAAGTCAATAATAATAATGAAAGTGCACTGAGTGCTGGCTGCACGCCAGGTACGTTGGGCATTTTCTGCGCTCAGAAGACATGGAAGAATCCTCACTGCTCCCCCTCTGAGACAGGGGCTGTACTTAGCCCTGCACTTACCCCCATTTCACAGCTGAGGAAACTGATGTAAGGGGGAGAAAAGGAACCTCCCCCAAATGCCGCAGCTAAGTGTCAGACCTACCCTCTGCTGCTCCCCACATCCTGACCCGTACCCCAGGGAGGCAGCTGGGGGGGGGGGAAAGCACAGGGGTCCGCCCCCCAGGGCTGCTAAAACCAGGAAGGTTCTGAGCGTGACCGGCTCGCAGACCCCTCCCAATGGCCTCAGCTCTCGTGGGCTCCACCTCTGACAAAGCAGGGCTTCTCCTCCCGCCCCCGTGGGCTACAGGTGGAGGCTGGGGTCTGTGTTCCGGAGGGTCACTTGGATATTGGGGAGCACCTCCCTTTCCTTCACAGATAAGGAAACTGAGGTTCGCAGAGGGGAGGTGTCAGGACTGCCATAGGCCATCTTGGATTCGACTTTTACCCTGCACTGAGTGGTTACAGAGTCTGGGGGCCTGGTGCCTGCGGGTCTTTCCCACAACGGGTGCAGGTGTCACTGGGAGCCCCAAGGTCCAGCCCAGGCCCTCAGAACCCATCCCCACAGGCGACAGCTGGCCAAGCTGGCCCTCATCTTCAGTTACATGCATGCGGAGCTGGGCGCACTCTTCCCCAAGGGAAAGTACTGTGGACACACGTACCAACTCACCAAGGCCCGGGCCCACACCTTCTGGAGGGAGCACTGCGGAGCCCGGTGAGTGAGCACCTGTCCCCGGGGCCCCTTAGCTCCTTTAGCATCATCCTGTCCCTGCCCAGGGAACCCAGGAGTCCTCGCCCCAGCCCCTCCTGCCTCAGACCCAGGAGTCCTCACCCCCGGCCCCTCCTGCCTCAGACCCAGGAGTCCTCACCCCCGGCCTCTCCTCCCTCAGACCCAGGAGTCCTCGCCCCCGGCCCCTCCTGCCTCAGACCCAGGAGTCCAGACCCCCGGCCCCTCCTCCCTCAGACCCAGGAGTCCTCGCCCCCGGCCCCTCCTGCCTCAGACCCAGGAATCCTTGCCCCCGGCCCCTCCTCCCTCAGACCCAGGAGTCCTCGCCCCCTGCCCCTCCTCCCTCAGACCCAGGAGTCCTCGCCCCCAGCCCCTCCTCCCTCAAACCCCGGAGTCCAGGCCCCCCCAACCCCTCCTCCCTCAGACCTAGGAGTCCAGGGCCCAGCCCCTCCTCCGTCAGACCCAGGAGTCCAGGCCCCCAGCCCCTCCTGCCTCAGACCCAGGAGTCCAGGCCCCCAGCCCCTCCTCCCTCACACCCAGGAGTCCTCGCCCCCGGCCCCTCCTCCCTCACACCCAGGAGTCCTCGACCCCAGCCCCTCCTCCCTCACACACAGGAGTCCTCGCCCCCGGCCCCTCCTCCCTCAGACCCAGGAGTCCTCACCCCCGGCCCCTCCTCCCTCAGACCCAGGAGTCGTCGCCCCCGGCCCCTCCTGCCTCAGACCCAGGAATCCTTGCCCCCGGCCCCTCCTCCCTCAGACCCAGGAGTCCTCGCCCCCTGCCCCTCCTCCCTCAGACCCAGGAGTCCTCGCCCCCAGCCCCTCCTCCCTCAAACCCCGGAGTCCAGGCCCCCCCAACCCCTCCTCCCTCAGACCTAGGAGTCCAGGGCCCAGCCCCTCCTCCGTCAGACCCAGGAGTCCAGGCCCCCAGCCCCTCCTGCCTCAGATCCAGGAGTCCAGGACCCCAGCCCCTCCTCCCTCACACCCAGGAGTCCTCGACCCCAGCCCCTCCTCCCTCACACACAAGAGTCCTCGCCCCCGGCCCCTCCTCCCTCACACCCAGGAGCCGTTGCCCCCGGCCCCTCCTCCCTCAGACCCAGGAGTCCAGGCCCCCAGCCCCTCCTGCCTCAGACCCAGGAGTCCAGGCTCCCAGCCCCTCCTCCCTCACACCCAGGAGCCCTTGCCCCTGGCCCCTCCTCCCTCAGACCCAGGAGTCCAGGGCCCCAGCCCCTCCTCCCTCAGACCCAGGAGTCCAGGGCCCCAGCCCCTCCTCCCTCAGACCTAGGAGTCCAGGGCCCCAGCCCCTCCTGCCTCAGACCCAGGGGTCCAAGCCCCCAGCCCCTCCTCCCTCAGACCCAGGGGTCCAGGCCCCCAGCCCCTCCTGCCTCAGACCCAGGAGTCCTCGCCCCCGGCCCCTCCTCCCTCAGACCCAGGAGTCCTCGCCCCCGGCCCCTCCTCCCTCAGACCCAGGATCCTCGCCCCAGTCCCCTCCTCCCTCAGACCCAGGAGTCCAGACCCCAGCCCCTCCTCCCTCAAGCCCAGGAGTCCAGGCCCCCAGCCCTCCTCCCTCAGACCCAGGAGTCCAGACCCCAGCCCCTCCTCCCTCAAGCCCAGGAGTCCAGGCCCCCAGCCCTCCTCCCTCTGACCCAGGAGTCCAGACCCCCAGTCCCTCCCGCCTCAGGCCCAGGAGCCCTCGCCCCCAGCTGCCTCCTTCCTAGAGGTCTTCCCATCCTGGGTTCCTCAGCTGCATACCACCACCGCCCCCCCATTCCAGGTGTGTGCTGCCCTGGGCTGAGTTTGAGTGGCTCTTGTGCACGTGCCACCCAGTGGAATCTGGCTGCACGGCCCTGGCCTTGCGCTCCACCATTAACCTCACCTGCAGCGGCCACGTGTCCATCTTCGAGTTTGACCTTTTCACCAGGCTCTTCCAGGTTAGCGACGGCCAAGGCTGGAAGCCCGGACTCTTGGGTCCTGGGGGAAGGAGAGGTTGGGACCACGGCCTCCTGGGTCTGAGGGAAGAGGGGCTGGGATCCCGGACCCGTGGTTCCTGGGAAAGGGCAGATCTGGGGTCTCCCGTATAAGAGAGTCCGAGGCCCACCCCAGGTGTAAGCCCAGTGGCTGGGTGCTGAGACCCTGGGAGGCACGAGGTGTGGGTGGCTTCCTCGGCCCCTCCCTGACCCAAGTGCTGCCCCCCTCCAGCCGTGGCCAACACTCCTCAAGAACTGGCAGCTCCTGGCAGTCAACCACCCGGGCTACATGGCCTTCCTCACATATGATGAGGTCCAAGCGCGTCTGCAGACCTACAGAGACAAGCCAGGCAGGTAAAAGGGCCAGGCCTCAGGAGGAGGAGGCTGCTGGGGGCTCCAGGGTCTGCATCCTGGGCTGGGGTGTCGGGGGAGCCCAGCCAGCCTTTGGGGAGTAAGAACGGAAGGGCTGAAGTATCTGGGACCCCAGACTGCCAAGAACTGAGAAGTAGGATGCTGAGTGACTCCAGCCACCCTGCCTCATCTCCTGGGACCTCCCAGGAGCCCGATGATCTTGGGCAGTGCTCAACATGCACCACCTTTCGAAGTGCCTTCTGCTGACACTCTCTTACAATGCACTTTCTCACAATCTGGCAGCTAGAGGAACAATACCTGGTCTGGCGGGGGGCCTGAAGACCCTGCCCTAGGATAAGATCCATTTCTGTTGAGTCAGAGCTCATATTGTACCATCTATTAAATATTTTTTAAATTACACACACCTGAGTCCTTAAATATTTTTTTAATTACACACACAAACACCTGAGTCCTTAAATGATTTCAAGCCAGGAAATTTGAGCTGTTGGGTCCTCCCAGAGGGCTAAGGATCGAGGGGCTGAGTTACCTGGAACACCAGGAGGTTAAGGGAATAGGAGGTCACATTCATGAGTCTTTGCGGGGCTGACATACAAGAACCTCAGGACAGCAAGTATGTTAGCACTCCCCCAGTTACACTTCAGACTGGTTTAAAGGGAAAGCAAAAGGGATGGATTAATTCTCGCATTTGAAAAGACCAGGTATGGGGTTTCAGGCACAGCTGGATCTAGGTGCTCAAGTGTCAGGAATCAGTGTCTTCCCTGTGTCTACTTCTCTCTGTGTTTGCTTCATTCTCAGACATGGTCTCTCCTTATGGTGGCACAAGGTTTCTAGAAGCCCCAGCTGTACACCCTACCAGCTTAGCAACCTCTGTAGAAATGGGTACCTTGCTCCTGATACTTCTAGCAAAAATCTCAGGGCTGACCTCCATCACTATGGTCAGGGGTCCTAAAAGGCACTGATTGGCCAAGCTAGAATCAGCTTTGTCTAAGCCCCAGTGAGGGAGGATGAAGAGCCAAGCAGGTAAACCAATGGCTATCCCCTACAATGGGAGACAGGAATCTTAATGCTCATTGCCTAAAAAGTGGGAAGCTGGGTTAGAAAGAACAAGGACTTAGACACCTGGATCCCCAACAGAATGGGCACCTGGGAAGTCCCGGATGGGACAGCGGTGACCACTCCCTCACCCCATCCTACCAACCTCTTCCTCCAGCTACATCTTCCGGCCCAGCTGCACTCGCCTGGGTCAATGGGCCATTGGATACGTGAGCTCAGATGGCAGCATCCTGCAGACCATCCCTCTCAACAAACCCCTGTTCCAAGCACTCCTGGACGGACAAAAGGAAGGCTTGTGAGTCGCCATCCTGGCAGGGGGAGGGTGTCAGGAGAATGCACTTCGAAAGGTGGTGCGTGTTGAGCACTGCCCAAGATCACTCTAAGGGCACCCAGTTCACATGGCAGACATACATTTGCAATACTATATTGTTCCAGTAGGTGGCAGATGAGGGTCTTGAGGAAGGGGAGCTTTTTCTTTTTTTAAAGATTTTATTTATTTTATAAACAGAGAGAGAGAGCACGTGCGCTTGCAAGCAGGGTGAGGGGCAGAGGGAGAGATAGAGAATTTCAAGCAGGCTCTGCACTGAGCGTGAGCCCGACCCTGAGATCATGACCTGAGCTGAAATCAAGAGTCAGAAGCCTAACAGACTGAGCCACCCAGGCGCCCCAAGGGCGCCTTTGCTAGTTCACAGAAAGCTGCCGTGTGGGCTAGCAAGTGGCTGGGAGAAGTGGGGAGGGGGGGGCCGACTCCACTGGCTCCATTCCTGGGAATTCTGCTGAAAAGCTTTTGCTTCTAGATATCCATATCCTGTTATAGAATCTAGACTCTTAAAGCAGAAAGAACTGGGCAAACAGCTGGACAGGTGTTTTCAACCTCTAACCTTGGCTGCCCCCCAGCCCCTCTTTCAGAAGCTGCCTTGGGTAGGAGAGGAGCGGAAAAAGGCGGGTGGGGTTCCTGAGTCTCTCCCTGAACCTTTAGCCAGAACTTTCTTACCAGGCATACCTAAATGATATGGTAGGAGACAGATAGATATGCAGTCAGTTCTCTTTTGTTGCTAATGGTAGTTTGTTCTATAAAGTCACCGCAAACACTGAATTATCAAATACTGAGCCATTGCTCGTGGGGCAAATACAGGTTTAGATTCCTGCAAGAGTCTGGTCCCATTTTTTTTTTTTTAATTTTAAGTAAGGTCCACACCCAACATGGGGCTTGAACTCACGACCCGAAGATCCAGAGTCACATGCTCTCCCGGCTGCACCAGCCAGGCATCCCATCTGGTCACATTTTTCTCAACCAATTGCTACCTTATTGGTAACCAATAGTAACCTTTATGTGTGTTTCTGCCTAAAGACACCTTATTTAATATGTAGTCAGTTCTTTCACAGTGAAGTCAAGTCAAAACGAAGCTCATCTAACACCCGTATATTCTCTATAAGACGCATCCCAGCCCTGTATTTGGGGACGCTGGACAGCGCTTCAGCACTATGGGGCCATTTAAAATGGCGAAATCACCAACAAAAAGCACAAAAAAAAAAAAAAACTGAGGCACAGAGAGACAGAGCCACTTGCCCGGGTCACACAGCCGCTGAGCTCACGGGCTGGGATGTGAAGCCAGGCTCAGAATACAGACCCTCGCCCACCACAGTGTCTTAAGTTCCAGGTCAGACTTCACTGGAGAAAAGGATTCTAGAGATAAAATAAGTGTGAATACCGTCAATCTGGTTTAACCCCCCTCCCCCCACGAAGCACACAGACCCCACCACCCACTAGAGAGATGGGAAGATCAAGGCCCTGAGAGAGGTGAAGAGACTCCAAGCAGTTTCCACCACACAGTGAGGCAGCTTGCCAGGTCTAAAGTTGATCATAGCAGTTCCCTCGGGGCGGGGGCGTTTAGGTGTGGAGGAAGGATACCGCACATGTTTTGTGGATGCCACCAATCTTTGCCCCCAGCATGATGATGTCCACTTTACAGAAGGGAAAACTGAGTGCAGGGAGGTAGAGATGCCCAGCCCAGGGCACACAGTGTGTTTGTGGAAGAGCTGCACTGGGGCCCAGCCTGGGGCACCTGCCCTGCTCTACCTGGCTGGCTGGGCAGACCCACCAGGCTCAGGGGACTCGTGGCCCCACTGTAGAGTGCAGCTGTGACCCAGAGGGTGCAGAGCCTTTTTCTCAGCTGTCCTGGAGCCCGGCGCCCAGACCTTGCCCACAGCCCTGGTCCCACGTCCCTCCAAGCCCCTCTGTGTGGCCTTGAGCTGTTACCTTTCCTGCACTGAACCTCAGTAACTATATGTGAAGTGAGGAGTGTAGACGGTCTAGAAGGGTCCTTCTAATTCTGCTAGCCTAAGACTAGGATTTGGTCACTCCAGCAATGTGTGACCTAAGATGCTTCTATACTTGGGCCTGAACACTCAAGAATGGGGGTGCTCTGGGAGGGCAAAGGCTGGGATTCGGTCAGTTTCCTGGTTCCTGTTGATCTGATTTGTATTTCCAGAGCTTGGGACACTTAGGTCTAAGGTGTCCTTTTTTCTGGGGGGGGGGGGGGGTCTGAGGGGACACGGCCCTGCCCTGGCATCTGAGGGGACACCGCTTGCCCTGGAAAGTCCCAGTATGAGGAGAGGGAAGGGAAAAGATCCCCAGGCCAATGATGGGTTTGGGAGAGATGCTCATCCAGGGGCCCTGGGCCCATGGTAGAGTCCGGGGAGTCCTTGCTCTTCTGGGGTAGGGAGTCTTAGATGGCCCTCAGTACCCCCTCTCTTCCCTTCACCCAGCTACCTCTACCCAGATGGGAAGAACCACAACCCAGACCTGACTGAGCTCTACCAGATGGAACCCCATCCGTACATCCATGTGTCAGAGGTGAGGTCCCAGCCTGTGCCCCCTACCACCCCATCCCTGCTTCCTGCCCCACCCCCACACTGTGGCTCGACTCAGAATTCTCTCCCACAGAGTCAGGCTCCAGAATCCCAGAGGCCTTGGGTTTTTGTGCTGGTGTGGTGGCCATGTGATCTGGGTTAAATCACTTGGCCTCTCTCTGCCTCTGTTCCTTCTATGGAAAATATGGCGCCTCCTGCCTTCTCCCCAGGGGTTTTTGCGGGGATTAAACCAGGAAATGATACTGCTGAGACGATCAGAATGGCTGGTGCACTTGAGCTTTCACCGATGACAGCCCCTGTACCAGCTCCTGGTCTTCACAGCCACCCCATGGGTGAGAGAGAAACGACAAATGAAATCTTTTGGTATAAGTATCTCCCACACAGTATTTGGGATATACTTAGACCTAAAAAGTTACGCATTGTTTACCCAAAAATCAAATTTAACAGGGCATCCTGTATTTCTAGTTGCTAAATCTGGCAACCCTGAATATAGACCACCCCGGAGACTGAGTCTCATAATAAGGTACATGTAGGAGGCTGCTGGACACACGGCCTTGAACTTAGGAGGGTTCGGGGTTGGCATAGAAGTTTAGGACTTTCTTCCTGTGGCCTGACTTATATCCCCATGGCTGGCAGCCCCCTTCCCACTCTCCCCATCTTCTTCCCTGCTAGGAGCAGCTGCAGCTATACTGGGCCATGGACTCCACGTTCGAACTCTGCAAGATCTGTGCTGAGAGCAACAAGGACGTGAAGATCGAGCCCTGTGGGCACCTGCTCTGTAGCCGCTGCCTGGCCACCTGGCAGGTGGGTCTGACTGCCCTGCCTTCCTGCCCAGTCTCCCCCCACTTTATGGTAAAAGTCCCTCCTAGAGGATCGCCTGCATGCCTCGTGGATCTGATGGAGAAACTGAGGCCCAGGGCAAGCAGAGATTTGCTCAGGGTCACTCAGGAGTGATGAGTGGGAGCCCACCTCTCTGTGTCTGTGCCTCCATCTCCGTCTTGCTCTGCGTCTCTCACCTCCGCTCCTGCTTCTCCAGCTGCGTTCTTATTAGTGGAAAGGGCTCCTTGTTCCTTGTTCCTGGCTGGGCAGTCTGGGGCCAGTGGCTTCACCTCTCTGAGCCTTAGCTTCCTCCCCTGGAGAACGGGGCTGATAGTAGCAACCTCCCAAGGGCCGTGGTGAGGATCCAAGCCCACAAAGCCCTCTGCAGAGGCCCCTGGGAAACCCGGGGCTATTGCCCTTGCTTAGCATAGGTACATGACCTTAAGCTTCCTGATGGTGATGGAGGTGTTTGACAAGTTCTGATGGCTGGGGCATGCATTCCAAGGCCATTCATCTTGAATACACGTATTGTCACTGTGGGCCACAGGCTGCTAGCAAAACGACCCAATAAGGAAGCAGGCCACCCCACTCATGAAGCTTTAGAAAGCCCGGGGTAACCTGTCAGATAGCTGACCCCTTAAGACCTTGCTTTTCCCTTCCCATGTCCTAATGCCTCAAATTGACCAATAAAGAGTGAACCCATGAGTCCCTAGACACCCCACTTGGCCCCTAATAAAGGCAGAGCCCCGGGTGCATGCAGCTTCCCTCTCTCTGCACCTGGGACCTCACCGTGGGGCCCCAGGCAGGCCGCGTACCCCCCAGGACCTGTGAGTAATCAGTCTGGTTCTTCCAAGCTCTGGTGGTTGTTGCTGAGGTGTGTCCTGCAATCATAAGAAGCCCAGGGGCTGGCTGAGCCACAACATTGGCCCCAGTGGCGGTTGTCACCACAATTTGTACGGGCCCCGGCAGGTGCCTCTGGCATTCCTAGGGGACAGCATCACTGTGGACAGCTGAGCCCCCCACAACACCCTGGCTCCACTGGGCATCCTGCTTGTGCCCCCCTCCCCCCCCCGCTGACCTCACGCTCTGCTCCCATCCCCTTCCCATCCTGCATCTCCCCCAACTCCTCTCTTCACGACTCCTCTCCCTCTCCCCCCCGTTTCCCTCCATCTGTCCTCGGCCCATCACTCTGTTGGGGAGGCGGGCCCTTGTGGTCCCAAGGGACATGGTGGAGAACAGGGCGACCCTGACCCTATCCCATCCAACCCCACCCCCAGCACTCCGACAGCCAGACCTGTCCCTTCTGCCGCAGAGAGATCAAGGGCCAAGAGGCTGTGAGTATCCTATCCCAAGTGAGGCCAGCGGAAGCCAGGGCCACTGCTGAGGACCCGAAAGAGAGCAGTGACCAGGAAGATGGGGAGGAGGAGCTGGGGCAGGTGAGCAGGGCCAGGCAGGAGCTGCAACTGGAACTCCTGAGTCTGAGGGAGGAGGGGCTGGGGGCCTGGACTCCTGGGTCTGAGGGAAGAGGGGCTGGGGGCCTGGACTCCTGGGTCTGAGGGAGGAGGGGCTGGGGGCCTGGACCCCTGGGTCTGAGGGAGGAGGCGTCTGGGGACCAGAACCCCTGAGTCTGAGGGAGGAGGGGGCTGGGGGTCTGGACTCCTGGGTCTGAGGGAGGAGGGGGCTGGGGGTCTGGACTCCTGGGTCTGAGGGAGGAGGGAATTAGGGCCAGGACTCCTGAGTCTGATGGAGGAGGGGCTGGGGGCCTGGACTCCTGGGTCTGAGGGAGGAGGGGCTGGGGGTCTGGACTCCTGGGTCTGAGGGAGGAGGGAATTAGGGGCAGGACTCCTGAGTGAGGGAGGAGGGGCTGGGGGTCTGGACTCCTGGGTCTGAGGGAGGAGGGGGCTGGGGGTCTGGACTCCTGGGTCTGAGGGAGGAGGGGCTGGGGGCCTGGACTCCTGGGTCTGAGGGAGGAGGGGGTTGGGGCCCTGGACTCCTAGGTCTGAGGGAGGAGGGAGCTGGGGGTCTGGGCTCCTGAGTCTGAGGGAAGAGGGGCTGGGGGCCTGGACTCCTGAGTCTGAGGGAGGAGGGGCTGGGGGCCTGGACTCCTGGGTCTGAGGGAGGAGGGGGCTGGGGGGCTGGACTCCTGGGTCTGAGGGAGGAGGGGGCTGGGGCATGGGCTCCTGAGTCTGAGGGAGGAAGGGCTGGGGGTAGGACTCCTGAGTCTGAGGGAGGCGGCAGCTGGGAGTCTGGACTCCTGGGTCTGAGGGAGGAGGGGCTGGGGGCCTCACTCCTGGGTCTGAAGGAGGAGGGAATTAGGGGCAGGACTCCTGAGTCTGAGGGAGGAGGAGCTTGGGGGTCTGGACCCCTGGGTCTGAAGGAGAAGGCAGCTGGTGACAGGATTCTGGGGTCCTACGGGCCTGGACCTTTGCTTCCTCAAGGGTTTGGGGCTCTGACTTTCTCCAGCTGTAACTCTCCTAAGGGTTAGGACTTTGCCTTCTTCTCTATTCTATCTCCAAAGCCTAGAAGAGTGCCTGAATGCTGGGACTCTAGGCTGAAGGACACGTAGGGGGGAAGACAATGGCAGCTTACAATCCCCTCCTCACCCTCTGTCTCTCCTAGGTGGTTTCCTCAGCTCCCCCACTGCCCCCTCAGCTGAGTGCATCCCCAGCTAAAGGCCAGCTGAAAGTGGTGAGTCAGGCACTGGTCTGAGGTGGGCAACTCGGGTCTTGTTCAGCTCCAGGGTTCCTCAGGGTCCCCTGGCTCAGCACTCACCCTTCGCGCCCATTGACAAGGTGCTGGGCAATCCTCTACGCCCTCTTGTTCTCTTCCCTAGTTATCCCCCTTGCTGGCTTCCTGACTCTCCTTCCAGCATCCCAGGCATGTCTTACCCCAGGGCCTTTGCACCAGCTATTCCCTCTGCCTGGATTTCCTTTCTCCAGGCTCGCTTTCTCATCTCCTCCTCAGGGAGGCCTTCCCTGACCACCCTATTTTATTGATAATAAGACACCCCCCTCCCTCCAAGCCTCTTCCCTGCTGATCTCCATAGTTCTTTTCAGCACGTGGCAGAAGATATAGTCTGTTTCTCTCACCGTCAGCAGGGTCCCTTCATCCTGAAGGTTAGGACTCTGTCCTGTCTGGTATGTCTCCAGAGTCTAGAACAGTGCCTGATACATGGCAGGTATACAGTGAAGAGGCGTTGAATGGATACCTTGAACTGGGTCTTCCCAGTAGCCTACAAAGTCAAAACTGTTCCCCTCTTCACTTCCCAGAGGAAGAAGGCTCAGAGAGGTGACCACACTCACGAAAACCTCACAGCCTGATACAGGAGAATCTGGTGTTGGGGCGGGGGGAGCTTAGAGAACTCTAAAATCATCTGCTTATTTTCTAAGCAAGCCCCAGCCTTCTATCGCTCCCCCCACCCCTTACTTCCTACCCCAGGATTTTCCGAGCCCCTGGCCTGCTGGGGAGGGGCCCGTCTCTGTTAGCATCTCAGGCTGAGCACACGCAAGATTCAATCAATACAGGGCTGTCTTCAAACAAACAGCTCAGGAAGTCCGGGAACATTATTCGACCGCAGCAAACAAGTGAGCCAGCAGGAAGGGGGGTGGCGCTGACACCAGCCAGGGAAGCTAAAAACAGATCCAGACCTGCAGCCAAAAGCAAATGGAAACATTAGGAGGCACTCAGCCGGCTCCCTGAGGACAATGAGGGGGACACAGCCCGAATGGCGGGCCGACGGGGGCACAGAGGCGCACCTTTGCCTAGGCTGGGCCCTCCACCTGGCGTGCCCTTTCCTCTGCTCCCCAAACCCTGCCCGATTCAAATCCCAGGCAACTCCTACCCTTTGTTCTTCAAAACAGGCTGCAAGAGAGGTGGCCCCAGGAGGGGGTGGGGGGTGCCGCTGCCCAGCAAAGTGACTGCCAGGAGGAGAATAGTTAACGTGTATAGAACTTGGTATACGCCTGGCACTGCTCTTAACGTATTGATTTAATTGTCCTGACAACCCAGGGAGGTACATACTGTTATGATCCCTATTACTCAGAGCCAGATGTGGAGGTCACCAGCTCAAGATGACAGAGTCGGGACTGGCCCCCAGGCCCCCGGCTCTAGACTCCAGACTCCATCCTCCGCTCCCATGGGCCTCTGTTCTGTGAAGTGGGCACCGTGCCGGTCTCTGCCGCATGGGGGCGAGGAGTGGGCTGCTGTGGGCACAAGGGCAAAGGGGGCCATGTCAGCGTGGCTGTGGTTTGCATAAGCTGTTCCCACTCTGCTGTTCTCCGTCCGAGAAGCCCACCTCTAGGCAGCAAGCCCGTCATTCAGTGGGACCCGGCACCTTGCTGGCCTCCGGCGACCTCTCCCATCCTCACTGTCTCCATGCGGAGAATAGCAACAAGCCTGGCATGTTGCTCTCTCTCCGCAGGTTCTGATGAAGTGAGCAAGACTGGGTGTATGTCACCTGGGTCACACCCCTCCCTGACCTCTCAGAAGCCCCCACTTGCCCCCCTAGGGCCCCAAGAAAAAGCTAACACACTCTCCACAGCCCACAAGGCCTGGGGGATCTGACTCCTCCCCACCTCTGCACCCTCTTACCATACTCCCAACTCCTTTTCAGCAACAGTGGACCCCTGCTGTTCTTCTAACAGGCCAGCAAGCCCGCCACCCATTGCAGGACCTCCGCCTACATCCTTCTAAATACTCAGCCTTCTGTTCAATTGCCGCCCTTTCCAAGAGGTCTTCTCCAGCCACTCCTATCTAGTTGCCCCCCATTCTCCCCATGCCCGTTTCAGTTCCCTGAAGAACATCTAACACTCTCTGGATATTTCCTTGTCCGTGCACTGATTACTCATGGTAAGCTTCTTGCTCAACACATCATCAGTTGCATGAGGACAGAGATTTGTCTACCTGGTTCATCGCTCTCTCTTCAGAACCTAGAATAGTGCCTGACACTGTAGATTCTCAGGAAATATTTGTGGGATGGGGGGATGGGTGGATGGATGAAAGGATGGGTGGGTGGATGGATGGATGGATGGATGGATGGATGGATGGATGGATGGATAGGTGGGTGGATGGATGAAAGGATGGGTGGGTAAATGGATGAATGGGTGGGTGAATGGATGATGGTGGATGGATAGATGGATGGATGGATGGTTGGATAGATGGAGGGATGGGTAGATGGATGGACAAACAAAACTTCCTACTCAAGCCAGAGGTGCTAGGGGATAAAACAGCATGGACCAGGGACAAGACTATTGTACTGGCTTTCCCTCCTCCTCCCCCAAGCAACCAATGTATTACTGCTGTCCAGACCTGTGAAATGAAAGATAGCTATAGCTCAGCTGTGACATTTCTTAATCTCCCCTCCAGGCACCTCTGGCCCTCCCCAGACTTCAGGGCCCTCTTTCCTTTCCAAGATTTAAGACTGTGGCCTTGGCCCCATGGCAAATCACCTCCAGCCCTCAGGCCAGGGAGGGAGCCCCAGGGTAAGTGGAGAGGCAGCTGGGGTCTGGGACTCCTGGGTGTGTGGGAAGATGGGGATGGGGGGGGGGAGCAGAAGGGAAACACTGGTCCTAGGAAATCAACAGCCCTTCTTCAAACTCTCTCCACTGCAGAAACTCCTAAGGGAAAAGTCACCCCTCCGGCTGCCCCTGGGGGGGCCCATGATCGCTGCCCAGGCATGGGGGCCGGTGAGTCTACTCCAGCCCAGCCCCGGCCAGGTTCCCTCCCTTGGCCTGGCCCTGCCCTGTCCCCCAACCTGGCTGTGATACTATCTAACCCCCCTCTCTTTCTGCCTCGCAGGGCCCCAAATGTGCTGCTAAAGGGAGCCCCAGGGGCTAGAAGGGGTTTGTGACTAATAAAGTGCCAAGCTTTGTTGTCCTCTGATATGTGGAGAAAGTGCAGCAGGCACTAGGGGGCAGCTTGACCTGGGGGGGGGTCCCTGAGGCCTGATCATCCCCCCCATTAATTCAGGGGTCTGGAGAGGCGAGTGGGGTACCCAGCTCCTCTGGATCCAGGAGTCCAGGCTCCCAGCCTCCTCCCTCAGATCCAGGAGTCCAGAGTCCCAAGTTTTCGGAGAATCGGGCAGCCATCCCTCTTTCCCCACTAATGCAAAAAAATTTTCTGGAACCAGATCCAGATATCCAAGTACTAAGTACCTAGTCAAAAAGACCCCACATTTCTTTAAGAGTTATGCACCTGATCTTGTCCCAATGTTCTTTCCTCCATTCCACTCTGGGAGAAGGATCCCAGTGATTTCCAGTCCAAATCAAACTGAGGACATGTCTCCCCACCTCATCACTAATCTTGGAGGGACCCAAGCCTCCCTCCACTTCAGTTTAAGCCAGCCCGCACCCCCTGAGCCCAGCCCTGTGCCCAGCCCCAGGCTAGGTGAGGCTGGGCGTGGCTGGGCGCATATAGCAGTAATCACTTGCCCCCTGGTGGCTCACAATCCAGTGGGTGACATACAGTGATGACCCAGAGTGGGCAGGGCTAGGGGGGTGGGGGAGAAACGGGGCTACAGGAACCCAGAGTGGGCAGCTGAGCCAGCCTGGGAGGTCAGAGAGGACCTCCAGGAGGAGGCATCCAAGCTGAGACTGAAAAGAAGAGGAAAAGGTATCCCGGTGTAAAGGGAGCATGGAAGTCCATACCACAGATTTGTCCCAAGCAGCACAAGCCGGGGCAGAAAGGGAATTCATTGAGGGGATGTGGGATCTCTCACAGATTCCTGGGAGCGATTAGAGAACCAGATGGGAAAGTAAGCCATGAAAGGCAAAGGAACCATCAGCATTGGGCTCCAGCCGGAGCCCAGCCCCAATCACGCCACAGAACTGGTCTGATGAGGATACACTGATGTCCCGAGGACCCCTGAAAACCAACCAGTCACCTCGCTGCCTCTGCTGCCCCAGCAACTGGCTGAAGGTGCTCTTCTCACTCGCTGTTGCTCGGAACAAATCATGCCAACACTTAGTGGTAAACACCAACATCGTGGTGGCCGCGGGCCAGGATTTGGGGACGGGCTCAGGTGGGTCGTTCCGGCTCAGGGTGCAAGCAGGTGGCACCTGGTCCAGGGCCTCTGGGGGCTGGACAGACTGCTCTCTGCAGTCAGACCTCTCCATGGGGTCGCCACACTTGCTAGCTTGGGCTTCCCCACGGCATGGCCGCCTAAGGCAGCCTGACTGCTTGTAGGGTGGCTGATGGCTTCATGGGAGAGTCTCCCAGTGACCCTTTTCTACCTAATCTTGGGAGTCCTGCAGCATCACTTCTGCCACATTCTCTTCTTTACAGGAGAGTCACAACACGGCACAGATATAAAAAGAGGAAGGAACGTAGGTTTCCCCACTTCTGGGGAGTGTCGAGATCAGATTGTTAGAAGAGCATATGGAATGAGAGATACTGTTACATCCATCTTTGGAAAATACAATGTGTCCCAGCTCCACAAGAGCGTAGAACCAACCAGTCCCTGCTTCTTTGGCATTGTTAAATCCTAATTCAAAGTACAGTAGGATTCAGGGGCGCCTGGCTGGCTCAGTCGGAAGAGCATGTGACTCTTGACCTTGGGATGGTGAGTTCGAGCCCGGTGCTGGGTGTGGAGGTTACTTAGATAAATAGAAAACTTAAAAAAAAAAAAGTTCTTATCTAAACTTTCCCTGCACAATAAACTGTTGTCGTCCAACCCAGAATGCATTCATACTGCCCCCCCCCGCAAGACAACACAGACTTCCAGTAGTTACATTTTCCAGACGGAAATCTGGAATGACTGGGGAGTCCCCATTCCCCAGCAAATGTGTCATGATCCCGTATTCCACAAGCTGTGAACTAGTTTTAAAGTCAACCATCACACACTGTATGTAAAATAATGGGATAAAGGTACCAGAGTCCACAAGGGGAATGTTCCAAGATTGCTCCCGGATGCCTGAAACCACAGACAGTATCCAACCCTAGATATATGGTATTTTTTGACTAGGGACTTAGTATTTGGCTGTCTGTACATACCTATGATAAAGTTTAATTTGCAAGTTGGGTACAGTAAGAGATTAACAGTAACAATAAACTAGAACCGTTATAACAATGTCCTATAATTAGCGTTATGTGAATGTGGTCTCTTTCTCAAAATATCTTCTTGTACTAGATTCACCCTTCTTTTTTTTTTTAAGATTTTATTTATTTATTTGTCAGAGAGAGCACAAGCAGGGGGAGAGGGAGAGGGAGAAGCAGGCTCCACGCTGAGCAAGGAGCCAATGCGGAACTCGATCTCAGGACCCTGGGATCATGACCTGAGCCGAAGGCAGACGCTTAACCGACTGAGCCACCCAGGCGTCCCTAGACTCACCCTTCTTGTGATGATGTGAGAAAATAATTGCCTACATGATAAGATGAAATGAGGGGAATAGCACCAGCATTGTGACCTATCCTCAGGCTACACTTGCCCCTCTGAAATACACATCAGGAGGAGGATCATCTGCTTCCAGACCACTGTTGACCGAAGGTAACAAACCATGGAAAGGGAAACCGCAGATAGGCAGGGCTGCCACAGAGGAAAAAACAAGGCTTGTTAATTAAAATGTGTAAGTGTGTATACACATGACACAGGAAGGATGGGATCGGAAAATTCATATATTGCACAGATCTTGACTCCGCTCGTCATACCAAGCACTGTTCTAGGTGTTGGAGATACAGTGGTAAAAAAAAGTTTCCGTTCTCTTAGCACTTAGGTTCTACACAAGATAAACAATAAAAAATAAATACATGGCATCGATAAGTGTTATAGAGAAGAAACGTAATAAGGGAAATAGGAATGGCTGGGATAGCAGGAATTGCTATTTTAGATAAGATGGCCAAGGGAAACTGTTGCGGTGATGTTGGAGAAGAGATTTGAAGCAAGTAAGGGAAGGAGCTGTGTGGGGAAGAATGTCCCAGCAAAAAGCAAGTGCAAAGGTCCTGAGGCCAGAACATGCCTGGCATTGGAGGAACAGCAAGGAAGCAAAGAGACCAATGTGGCAAGAACAGAGCTGGCAAGGGGGAAGAGAAAGAAAGACGGAGTCAGGGAAGTAACGAGGACCGGGTCGAGGACCTCGTGAGCCATGGAGTGGATTTTAGCTTTTACTGAGAGGAGCCCTGGAAGGATTCTGAGCAGAAGAGTGATGTGGGTTGACTCACATTTTAACGGGATCCCTCTGGCTGTTTTGTGGGAATAAATTGTAGGGGACAAGGGCAGATGACGTTACAGTACTAGTTTCTGCAAGTCTGCGAGGGACTGTGGCTGGTATTTATGCCTTCCCTCCTTCATACACACTCCAGACGGTCCTTCCCCTTTGCCCAGAACCTTGGCCGGTTGGATTCTTGAGGCAGGTGGGAGTGGGAGTAGCTGATGAGAGGGTGCCTACTGGAGTCCAGCCCAAGCAAGTAGTTCACGAGCGGGAGCCAGAGGAGCTGGGGAACGGGTGTACGGGGTCCCAGTGTGTGAGCTTGTCCCCGGGAGCCCTTGGAGTTGTACTTGTCCATGAGTGAGTTTGTACCATGTGTCCTGCGATGATCCAGGGAGCCTGCGTGCTCCTGACTCTCGAGCCCTGCAAACCTTCCCTGAGCACCTGCTCTGTGTCTGGCCTTTTGCTGGGGACACAGCAGTGACCAACAGAGACAGCGCCAGCCCTGCCCTCATGGACCCACAGTCCAGTGGGGGGACAGATTAATCCCCAGACAGGATGACCCAGAATGTGCAGGACTGGGGTGGGGGAGCCCAGGTGATTGAGGGAGCGTAGAGGGGGCGCTTGACCTAGCCAGGGGAGCAGGGAAGGCATCCTGGAGGAGGTGGTGGTGCGGGTAATACTAAAAGGTCTCCTCTCCCAGTGTAACAGTTGCTTTCCTGTATCACTGATGAATAAAGTACCCTTGACCAGTTTGACCAATAACTCCCAAGCTGACGTATAATCTAAGCCTTCCTTCTGTGCCCGATGGGCAAAGCCATCTTACCAGTGACCCCCATTCTGGCCAGTGTCCAGGGCTAGTATTCCCTATAACCAGTGACATCTCTCCCTTCCCCCACCCCCAGAGGATTTTGTCCCCGTCAGACCTGGCTTGTGAGAAGCCTTGAGCAGTCGGGATCTGTGAGGCCCCCCTGCCACCTGACCTGTGACCCTTCCTTCGGACCCCTGGCTCTGCTCCTCCCCACTCCCCTCAGGTGCCCTGGCCTGCTCCCCTCCCCCACTCACCTGCTCCCTCCAGCCTGATTCTCCTCCCATCCCCCCCAAGATTGGGAGGGAGTGAAGGGGAGAGGAAGGGAGGAAGGGGGGTGGCATTCCTAGGATTCCCGGGATGAGGGGAAGAGAGGGAGGGCTCCACGGAGGAGAGCCAAGGAAAGAGCACCCCACTGCACTCCCCACCCCCCACCTTCATCGCAGAGTCCTGGGCTGAACTGAGGTTTGAAGACCATTAAATTTAAGAGATTGAACTGATGGGTTCCAGGCCACTGGTCAGACAGGAAAGCAGCCCTGAGCAGTGGCTACAAGGGAGGGCCTCACAAGGCATACAGGAAGAAGCTGTTCTAGGCCACTGATCAAGCTGGGCACCACTGGTTGTACTGGGGGAAGACAGTGCAAGCCACTGGTCATGCCGGGAACCACCGG